TTTCAAGGGAAATGAGAAGTATTAATCTCGTTGTATAACAATAAAGATTCTCCAGGCGTTCAATTCCTATTGCATAATCTGTCAGGTAGAGGTTGACACTAGTTATTGATACCACAGTCAGATGCCTGACAACCATGTTCTTTATATCAAGTTTGCATATTATAACCATGTTGGAATACAGAAAGGATTTTTATTATTTTCTGGAAATGTAGATATGCATTTTTATCTCCTAACCAGTTTGAATATCAATAATATTCTCATTCACTAAAAGAGGAAAATAGATATCTAATATCAAAACCTATGTAAAAATGCAAATACAACTAAACAGAATGAAAGGACTACTCTGGGGCCCAATAATTAAAGAGCTGTAGAAAGTCCACATACAAAAATAAAAATACTTTATTAATTTTTTCTTAAAACATTGCTCAAACCAAGAAACTTTCAAAAAATATTAATTAGCCCAATTAGTTCCAAATTGCAAAATCAATAATGTATATAATCAGAACAATTCATCTATATCATCTCATTTCTGCTTCCAACTTAACACAAGTAACCACAAAGCTGAAAAACTGCACTAATTTCTTGACTGCCTGGATGCCAAAAAAGAAAAAAAAAGTAGCAAAAGTTAGTTATTGACATCTCTATTATAACATAAAAAAAACTACTTAGGACATGCATGCAATATCCAGATTTCATAGCTGAGACCTAATTTGGTGTACATGGTTTAAGTAGTTTTTATAAAGTCCTGATTCATATTCTACTAAGATCATCAATTTGGGAATTAACAAAACTTGTAAAATCAAAGAATACCAAATAATTTAACTGTATTAGATCTGTGAAGTATTGCAGAAATATAAAACGAAATCCCTTTTTAACTTTATCAAGAGAGTAGAGCTAAAATATACTTGTAATAGCACATACTATTTCAAGCTTCTACTATAATTTGCATTTTACAAAAATAATGACTTGTGGCTCATCAGACCCTATGTAATAAAAAGTGGTTTCTAATGATCAACAATTACATTGGAAAATGAACATTAAGAAGTTATTACTATCATAAAAAATATTTTACCACAGGGAGTCTTTAAAATGTGAAATAAATCACAAATGCTATTTCTAAAGACATCTGCCATCAGAACCATCAGTCTACTGGATTCTGAACTGCAATCACAACCCTTCCTGGACTTTGCATAACCTGTCAATACCTTACAGTTATAACCAGGTCAAAATCAACAAAGTATCAAAATAGCATGGCAAATTAGGATTTGTTAAGTACAAACTTAATTGTCTGGGACCAAAATGATAGAATTTCTACTGCCCATGGTAAAAATAGGAGATAAAATTCTACAATCACTATCTACCATTTACTAAGTAAGCGTGCTTTCTATTCCTAGCTGACAAAAAAAACTTTTTGAGACAAAAATTGCACATAAAACAGAAGATGTTTGAAACTTTCTTACACTATTTTTAAAGCAAGCCAAATTATATATCAGTGTACTTAATCTATCTAATCAGTATCATATGATGAATGCTCTGTGCATGCACGTGTTAACGCAAAAGGAAAGAAATTCTTCAACAGACTCTGAGTCTCCCAAATATGGTTTGTGTGACTAACAGCTGAGAGGAAATGCAACTGAAACTGTCTGCTGGAAATCCATTAACATCTAGGCACAGAAAAATGCCTGGGTGATAGTAGAGTTGGATGTGTAAATTTGTGCAGGAATATAGCCAAATTTTTGGCAATCCCTCATGGTCTTAAATGTATTGACAATTGTCTTTCTTTTCCAGTTGTAATGTTACATTTGAAGAACATTATTTGAGTTGGAGGACCTTCCTGGTCTTTAAAACAAACAGGCTTAAAGCTTGGATTTACAAAGGCATGGCATTTTAAATAATACAAACAAAAATTTATACAAAAAATTATATGCTCCACAAAAACTGCCATGCATAGCCAAAAGAAAAAAAATCAGTACATTAAGGGAAAAACTGTAGGCTAATTTAGATATCATTCTAATTTCCCTTAAATATACTATTTTTAAATTTTTCTGTAAAAGTAATTTTCAGGATTATTACATTCTGAAAGGGAGTGTTTTTAAAGGAGAGTTCATATTTCAAAGTATATGCTCTTGCTATCTTAATACACTATTTTATAAAAGATTACTTTACATCTAGTACTTGCTTGTTCTTAGGAATTAAACTAAGTATGTAACTCCTTTACAAACCATTTAATAGCCATATGTGATCCTAGTCACTCTGTACTGAGCTCCTCCTAGGTCCTCAATGCTGTGAAATGTTTTATTTAAAATAATGAGGGGCGCCTGGGTGGCACAGTCGGTTAAGCGCCCGACTTCAGCCAGGTCACGATCTCGCGGTCCGGGAGTTCGAGCCCCGCGTCGGGCTCTGGGCTGATGGCTCAGAGCCTGGAACCTGTTTCCGATTCTGTGTCTCCCTCTCTCTCTGTCCCTCCCCCGCTCATGCTCTGTCTCTCTCTGTCCCAAAAATAAATAAACGTTGAAAAAAAATTTAAAAAAAATAAAAAAAAAATAAAATAATGAGAGCACTTTCTTAAGTATTTACAACTTAATATGGGTACAGCTTAAACATGCACACATTCAAAAGTATAAATATGCTATAAGCAGCTCTAATTGTTATGGTTATAAAATAAATTGAAAAATTTGAAGTACCATAATATTTTACAGGTGAGCAGTAATAGGTAAAATTGGCTCAGCACTTTGCAATGAAGAAGTGGTTCTCATAAAATTCACTGAATCCTCAAAACAACCCATGATACACTAGGAGTACCTTTCCCCCATTTTATTAGTGAAGAACCTGTGATGAAGAAAAGGTAAACAACTGAACCACATTACACACTAAATAGTAAAGCCAAGATTCAAACTGGTTACTCACAGCTAAGTCACGGCTGCCACTGGATTTATAATTTTCATTCTTTCATGTAAGTAATCACATATGATTGTTTCAGCAACCCAAGAGATAATAATAGCAGCTAATATTCATTGAATACATATTATGTAGCAGACACTGTTCTATACTATATTAATTCACTCCTCACAAACCCTATAAAAGGGTTACACTATAACCCATTTACAGATAAGAAAATGAAGGCTCACTGAAAATACGTAAATCACCCAAGATTACACATCCAATAGGTAGGCGAGTCAGAATTTAAACCCAGAGCATTTAGTTCCAAAGCCTCTTCTTTCCCACCTCACTCCTCAGTGGATTGACATGAAGCAGGTTAAGAAAGGAAATTGGAGAGGGAGAAGAAGCAGGTCTTCTAGTACTTCACTTTAACTACTTTTCCTAAACGTAACTGGAATAATTAAATCCAGACAGGGCAAGGTGGCTTTGGGTGTAGGTTGTTCTTTACAGCACAGTATGAACAGGTAAGGAACACTGGCAGGAAGAAGGAATCCCATCAGGCTAGAGAAGACTTATCTTCCATAGAGTGGAGGCAGAAGAATGGAAAACTAATGGGAGCAGAAACACATGTATTTGCCATTCTGATTCAGGGAGTATAAATTATGGTAGATGAAGAGGAAGGACTCTAATTAAGGAAATCAAGGAGAAGTGAAGCACAACACTGATTTGTTTTGAGAGAAAATTTAAAGCCACTGAAAGATTTGGGATAGGTGCTGTCATGCCTCCAGAAGAACTGATACTCCTACTTTGGCCAAAAGTATCTAGCGCACAGGAAGAAAACATTGAGAGAATTTTCATTTTTTTCTTTTTAAAAACTAAAATGTCATTTACAGTTTGGTAACTCCTTTTGACTGTTAGAAACCTTCCTGTGGAGAGAAGAGGGAAAGGGGAACATGATGGAGCGTAACGTGCTTCTCATTAGTTCTCAAGCTGTGAAGCTATGGCACTGGTTACTTTAGCACATAGATCTTCCTCAGAGTGCTGTTAAAATCGGATGAGGAAAATCACAACAAAATCTCATTTTAATGAATAAACTGAAATGCCAATCTAAACCTAAAGTAGAAGTTGCAACAAATGAGGAAAAAAAAAGTATGGCAGAGACCAAAAATGACACCAGGATACTAGAGAGCAGCACTTTTTAGAAGACAAATTAAATGGGGCAAACTAACCCTAATAGAATTCTTCCCTCATTACTTAAAATAAACCAGGTCACTGAAATGGGCTTATACTGTGGCATTTTGTTCATTTTAATTTCATTTAAATTTCATTACATCGTAAATTCCCATGGAAATACCTTAGACACGTGTCCACAATAATTAGAATGCCTAACATTTCAGTGTAAGTACTTTTGCATAAGTTCAACAAAACAGAAAGAATGCAGTGAGCTCCTTTCAGTTTTTTTTTTTTTCCTATGTCAACAGCTATTTTATGATAGGAATGATCTCTGTGGCTATAGAGCATGTGTAAAATACATCACATGAGTCTGTGAGAAGCCTTAATGCGGAAGACCCAGTAAAGATCTGGACTGCACACAGAAACCTCAAAATCAAGCTGAACTTCCTAGAATATAGCAATGATAAATTTTTCCTCCCAAAGCTATTACTGTTAAATATACCTTGATGAATTAAGTTCAAGTGTAACTACAATTGAAATATGATTCAACTGAGCTATGACCTATTTTTCCTCTCAAAAGCAAAAAAGAGAATAATGACAGTTGTGAGACTTACACTTTTCCATTCCTGGGTATTTCTGAAAGTTATTTCACAGCACAGCTAAAGGCAAAATGCACTTTGTGACACTTCTTTTCTTTAAAATACAGTTACTTATGCTAGTGCTCATAGGACAGATATAATTACTTAATAATTGTTATTAAAATTCTGTGTGTTTATTTTTAAACTATACATACCAAGGCATTCGGGAAGGAAATAATCTCAGAATGTAATAGGACACCGTAGGTCTACAGTTCAATTATAAGTATATATCTACATACAACAGAACCAACAATCAACATGACAAATACAAAATTAACATATACTGTATATGTGGTTGATAATACCCACCCCTAGCAGAAAGCTTTTTGGTGTTGATAATTTTGGCAGCATATTCTTGTCCAGTAGGGATTTTCATACATCTTCTCACCACTGAGAAAGCCCCCCTGAAAACCAATAATTAGCATGTCATCAATATAATCAGCTATGATATTCTACTAAAAAATTACAGCAATCTGAGCATTTTTGTTGCATTTAATGAACCGTCAAACATCAGTGCGCTACAGTAATATCCACAAAATGAACGATTCTTCCTGGAAACCTAAACCTTCCGTAATGTTGAAGAATAAAAGTAAATTTTATTTAACAGGGAGCACACATTATTAATCAACAAAATGAAAGGAATTGCCAATAATGACCGCTCTTGTTTGCACATGAAATTTGAAAACATTTTACAATTCACACTCACACAGCACCAAATGCTGAGAGGAAAAAAAAAAAAAAAAAAACCCTGCAAAGAGCATGGCTGAGGAAGAGCAGTAAAAATCTATTTATTTTGTTAAAAAAAATTTAATGTGGCTCCAACTAAGTAAATATGGCGATTGTTTTCATTAAAATATAAGTGTTGGGAACATTTGTGTGGTTTAACAAATCCTGATATGGTGATTTCTCTGTGCCCTGTTTTGAGCTGGGGGAAGGGAGAGATTTGAATTAAGCTGCTCTTCCGACATATTCTCCATGTTTTAACAACAGACAGCGTATAAATATATAAGGATATAATTTTCATTACATTTAAAATATAATTACATTCCCTTGAATTCAACTGCATAAAACAACAACATACATATAAACGCACCCCTTTCATAAGTAATAGTCGAAACTAGCGATAGAAGAACTGGGTTTGGGTTGGATGCTACATAAATCAACATTCACGGTTCAGCCCCTAAGTCCCTAAGCACAGAGGTCCTCAGGAGGTCTCAGGTCCCCTTCCTTAAATTCTCCGAGCAGTTCTGCCAGTCGGGTGTAGGAGGTCGTTTTATACAACACTAGGCTACCCTTGGGAAGCTTTCTCTCGGTCTCCAGGTCTTTGCCGTTGCCTGTACAAATAAATCCTCCCAGAGAATGCGAAGATGTACACGTAAATCATTGGAAGGATGATGATGATGAGCGAATAACCTAGTGCAAAGAATAAGAGTGGACATGGGGCAAGGGGTCGAGTTCTTTTCAATGGCCCTTTTCCTGGACAGAACAACTACTGGATGCAAAATAGACTCTACGCCAAGTTGAACTTTCGGCATCAATAAATATGGCACCGTCTGTGGCAGCGAGTTCTCATCCGTACGAGGGTCGTACGGCCGACACGCCGGCTAACCAGGAGGCATCTCTATTTACAGAAAACATGATCTATGTTGCATTTTACATGGGTTCTTGTTTCCTCTACACACACACACACACGCTCGCACACTTCTCTGGATGACAGCTACAACTGCAGGGATCGTAAATCCACTAAGTCTCTAGGGCTAGAGGGTGGGGGAACGGGTGAAGGTGGGCTAAGGATTATCGGAATGTGCCACAGCCGGGGTGGAGGGTCTTTTTCCGTCTCTGTCCCCTCCTCTCGCTAAGGCAGCACCTTCCTCAGAGCTGCCACACCGCGGGCCCTCCTCCCTCTCCTCTGGTCTCCCAAACTCCCTCGCCCCACGCGGGAGGCCGGTGGGTCGGGGGCAACGCGACCCGCCCTCTTCTGGAAAGGGGACGTGCAGATGCGGGCCAAGGCGCTTACTTTCCGAGCTCCTCGAAAAGCTGATACTCGTCCGTGAACCTGGTGCAGGTTGCAGTCGAAGCCATCCTCGGTCCGGGCTATGCCCCTGGCTGGGAGCGCGGCGGACAAGACTCGAACAGACGCGCGGCTTCCCCAGGACTGGCCCCACGGCGCTGTCACCCAGGGCCGCCCTCACTTTCCTCGTCCGAAAGTAGCTCACCCGGGAGGGAGTGTGCGCAGGGGCGGGGCGGGAGGGAAGATGACCAGAAAGGGTGGCGTGGGGTCTCCTCCCCACGGTCCGCAGATTCTCTTCCTCCTCCTCCGGCCCTCGCTTCCTTCTCCTCTGGACGCTCCACCCGCCCCCTTTCCAGCCCCTCTCCCCAAATGCTGGGGGCAAAGTACTCAAGAAGAGGGGGTCGGGAAACGGAAAACAGCCGGGCACGGGGCGAAAGCAGTTGCGAAACTAGCCGCACCGGGGCTGGAGGGGTAGGGGCAGAGGGGAGGGAACCCGAGGGGGCGGAGGCCGCGGAGCCGAGAGCGGACAGCTCGATCCCAGCTGCAGCTGTCAGCAGGCCCGGGCGCGGGGCGCGCCGGGGCTCGGTCGAGCGTGCGCGCCCGGGACCCGCCTGCCTCCCGCGGGCACCTCGGCTGCCTGGCGCTCCCCCAAGAGCCCGCGCCGCTTGGAGACTGCGCGGCGAGAGAAAGAGCGCTCGGATGGGGCGAAGACTAGTCCGCCGTCCCCAGGCCTCCGCCTCTTTCCTCCTCCCGCCACTCCCTCCGCCTGCCAGCACCCCCTCCCTCGCGAAGCCCCCTCCTCGCCGGTCCCACACCTCCCTCTAGCGACTCTAACCCAGTCCCTTCGCGGATCTCGCTCTCCCTCCCTAGGTCTTACACTCGCGCACACCCGTCTGGGGAGAGACCAGGTGGGCGGAGGAGGCTGTACGAGGGAGAAGCCTGGGGAAGATTTAGGTGAATGAGATGAGATGTCAAAATTACCCAGTTAAACTCGCAATTAAGCTGCTGCCTAAACCTGGGGTTGATTTAGAAGATGTGGGGTAAGTCGTGGGCTGCCCGGGGATGCTTCCCGGGCCGCGGAGGCCCCCGACCCTGTTGCGGGCACGGGGCACTAGAAACCGCTCCACGCCGACTCGTGAGCCGCGGTGCTCCGGGTGGGAGGGCGAAGTGTGCAACCATTTCATCTCCGCGCGCCTCCGTGTTGACACGGCGGGGGCCGGATGTGGGCAACTGACTGCTTCCTTAGCAGGGTCCCAGCCTACAGCCTCCCAGTGACTCCGGGCCCACCCCAGCAGAAGCCGAGCCGCCCGCTCCCGAGCTCCGGGTGCGCGTTTTCTCCCTCCCTTCCCCCGCCCCCCCCACCCCACCCCCGGCCCGTTTAGCGAGGGACGACGCCAGCCGTGCGCCACGTTTCACTTCTGATATGACTGCCACCTCACTGTCCACCTCCGCCGTTTTATAGGTTGGGTGGCTCAGACTCTGGCAACCCCCGAAGGCCTTTGCTTTCGGCCCTCGGTGTTAGAATGAAAGCAAAAACTCCCCCATGGAGCCACACCTTCTGAGTAACTCCCCAGTAACCTCGGTAAGTTCTGATAGTAAGACGGTTTCTCGCGAGATTTCCTGCTCTGGCGGCGGGGGTGGGGTTGTGGGAAGGTTGGGTGTCGGTCACGCGACCCGGTCGAGGCTGACGTCACTGTCATCACATGAACACGTTCTAGCCCGTTTCGCTTTGCAAAGGAAAAAAAGAAAAGGAGAGGCGGAGTGTGCCCTGCCTGTGATGGTGGCACAGAAGTATACTCTGTAAATGGTTATCTGGAAAATCACTTAAAAGTTCAAGAATACTTCCTAATCATTAGCATGCAGCAGATAGGAGAAAAAATAATTATGCATTACATGTAAAATAAATCGCTGATTGCTGAAATCACCCCTGGGCCTTTCTTACAGTCCTGTGTTTTCAATAAACTATGTAATTGCAAATTAAAACGCGGAACAAAAGGGTTATGAACGGTCTTTCCAAATTACTGACCTTCGCCTTTACGGCTTGGGACCCTAAAAACCTTGCAGTGCTAATTTGTTCATCTTTAGCATTACATCATGGACTCAAAATTCCACAGCTGGAAGATAAAACATGGTCATACAGAGAATCTAAAACTTGAAGGAATTGTTGCTCACTTCCAGAGGCTGCTATTAATTGTAAATTACCTTGTCCACAGTCACACGTAATCGTAATTCCCTCCGATCCTCATGTGGGGAATGCTATTTCTGCCAACAGCTTTTACTTTGAAATTTTCAAAATTTTACAAATTGTAACAGTTATTAAACAAAATTGAATTTCGTACATATTTTTATTTCTGGCTAATAAAAGCAAATAGAACATTGTGTAAAATGTAATGATACAAGATGATACCAAAAACTATATAAAGGGAAAAAAAGGTGTCTATATACTAATAATTGGGCTATAGAATTGAAAAAAAAAAAACCAATTTGGTCTATGCTAAAGATTTTTAATCTATATCAAATATTTAACAATATGGGTCCAAGTTATAATGCAATAATTTAATATTCTCTGAACCTAAAAGTGAAACAGAAAAAGTAAAATTAAAACAATAAATAAAGATAATATAAAATTTTACAACTCTAGGGAAGAAAAAAATTTTAAATATCCAAGTAATGAGGTCTACATAATTACAGTATTTATCTCAATTATTTAAACTACCAATAATTGTACATGGTTATGATGATTGTATGATACAATAAAGAAAACATAATAGTTTTAATATTGATGTATTATTAGACAATAAATGTGTACTTTTTAAAACACTGCTTACTCTGCATCTGTGCTGTTTCTTGGTCTGTATCTTAAAGTAATTAAAATATTTATCTTATTTAAACAAATATTGCCAGTTATTTCTGAAGCGTGGGCTTTCTTAAGGCAGGAACCCTTTCACAATTACACAGAAATTCCATTTGGATTATCATCTCTTGCCTTCTTCCTGATCTCCTGCTTCTACCCTTGCCCCCCTTTGTTCTAGTCTCATCCGAGGCAAGCATTATGGTCCCCTTAAACCCTCAGTCAGGACAAATCATGCCTTCGCTCAAAAACTTCTGAAGCCTTGGTGTCTCAATTAGACTAAAAACCAAAATTTTAAAAATGGCTTACAAGGCCTTGGGGGATCTGCCCTCCACTCCTACATCATTAGTCTTCCCTACCTCAGTTTGTGCCCTGGCTCATTCTACTCCAGCCACACTGGCCTCTGCGGTTCCTGGAGCATGACTTGGCATGCTCCTGATTAGCAACTTTGCATTTGCTATTCTGTCTTCCCTGGCATGTTTAACTGTCCTATTGCATTTCTTCACCTCCTTCTAATATTTTCTCTATCATCTTATTGATGGAGCTTTCCCTAGCCACTCTGTCAATTACTACACATTTCTCAAACATGACTTCACATTGCCTGCTTCATTTTTCCCCATAATATCTATTACCATCTAGTATACTATAAATTTTATTTTTTTCCCTGTTAATTGTTTATACTTTCCAACTAAAATATACTCTCCCAAGGGCATGAATTATTACCTGTTTTGTTCACTGCTCTATTTCCAGCGACTAGAATAGTGCCTGACACATAATAGCTGTTCTATGAATTTTATTAAATTGGCAAATTAATTATTTAGGGGTTTATTATATTAAAGTTAGTTGTTGATAATTAACATACCAATAAAGCTTACTGTAAGGGTGATCACATTTAATCAAGATAGTCACAGTATCCCATGATTAAAAGTGCAGAGAAATGGATTTTTAAAATACACTAATAATTGACATCAAGGGAAAAGGATCTAGTACTAATTTTCTTGCCATTGAAGTCCATAAAGGAAGAAGGAATACCGGCCTTACTAAATTTTACACTGTAATAAAAGACAGATGCCAAGTTCCAAATGATTAGATCTCACTCTGAAGACACAAGTCAATGTAAGGGAATGAAAAATGTGGCTTTAAAATGAGTTTTTGTAATTCCTAAACTAGTTTAACACCACTACTATGGAAGAAGATCCATCTTATGATGTGGAGAAACACTTAGGAAGTCATAAATGTGAAAAGAACGTCAGAAGTTACAGAATGGTGATGAAGGATTGCCAGATTAAAGTTAAGAAATATTCTAAAATTTACCAACAAACATGAGCTGGAGAGTGTACAAAAATGTGTTGTTCAAATGCAAATTGAAAAAATTGTAAACATGAGCCTACTTGGTTTCTCAATCGATTTAGATTAATCACACACAAATCAAGATTAGCTAGTGTATAAACTCCTAACTTTCTGCTTTGTTAAAGTGGAAGAAAAACATTTGTAACTGTATCCACTTTTAAAATGTATTCCTTAATACTAGAAAGGGTAACAGCAAGCAAAGAAGGAGAGGTGAAGTATGAGGGATGAGGACATGGAGGTGGGGGGCTAAGGGAGTAAAAACTAGTTACAAGCAGAGCCCTATCACTACCTAGATTGCTAGACTTCAATGAGATAAAATCATGTGACTACCAAGACCACACAATATTTTGCTCTAAATACGATCCATCCCTGTGTGTGTGTGTGTGTGTGTGTGTGTGTGTGCATGTGCGTATGTGATTGAATCAACTAACAAAAAAGTAGCAAAGAGATGGAAGACAAACTGAAAATGATCACTACACACAAATACAACAGGAGAACCAAAGGTAGAAAGTATCTTTTTTGGGTTTTTGTCCAGTTGCAACTAAAAATTGCAAGCCTTTAGTAGTCCCACTAGGAAAGGATGAGTTTCTAATACTTAGGTAAGGAAACCAGATATTGACAATCATTGGTTTTCCTGGCTACAGAGTTACAAGACAAGAAACAAGGAAGAGATGATGCTATATCCATTGCTCCCCAAAGTGAAGACTCAGTAATAAGAATAATCGGTAATAAGAAGTAATCAGTAATAAGAAGATTGCAGTGAGAATTTTAGCAGGGTCTGTTTCTGGTCTGTATCATGGCCACTCTTCACTGAAGATTTAGAGGCAAGGAGAAGAAAGCAATTTGCTTCTTTCAGTTAGCCCTCTTAAGGTACAATAATCTAACCCTGTAGAGCCAGACACAAATATAATCTACTAGTGAGCAAATAATCTACTCAC